TGTATGTTGTTTTGCATACTGCCATATACATATTGCCCCACTGACATGAACATTTAATGATCGAATCACACCAACTTGTGGTATTTCTATACAAGTATCAAACAAAGGTATCAGATTAGCAGGAATCCCATCCTCTTACCCTAAAATAATGATTGTTTTCTTTTCAAATTTCATATTTTGCAAATTTGTACTATTAGCTGTTTGTTCCAGTCCTACTAAAAACCATCCCATATCCTTTTTGTTTAATAAATATTTGCATAATTCATGTGGTTTTGTCTAAAATATTTGTAAATTTGGTATGATATATTTTATACTAAAATATCATGCATACAATACCTCTGTAATAGTTATCCAATTTTCAGCTGATACACTAAGGTTTTGAAATTCCTTATCTTTAATTTGGTTTAAATTAGCAATAACTAATTCCTTTACATTGAAAATTTCACAAGTACGAGCGAGTCCCCCTAAATTTGGGGTGCGACTAACAAGACATGCTACAACTATAAGACCATCTTCATCTGATGATATTCTTTTATGAGAAATAGATTCTCTGATTGTTGGAAAAATATCAGTATGTGACACATTTGTAGACATTGAGGGATTAATTTTTTTTTGGATATCACTTAAATGTTCAAAATCCATGTTACAATTTCTTGGTAAGGATGATTCTGTATCATCTATTTTAAAAGTATATAGAACTTAATTAACAATCACACTATAATATAATATTAGTAATTATTATAACCATTATAGTTTCTAAAATACCTGCTGATTTTATTAAATATGACGATGTTTTAATGTTTGATAATGATATATCCAAATTATACAATTGGAGGGGATGTTCATTAATTTCCTCAAAATGTAGAATTTTAAACAGATCTGGAGTTATCCATTCACTTATATCCATATCAGTTAATCGTGGGAGTTCAAAATAAATTGTCTAATAATAAAAGCAAAGTAACATTATTTAATTAATATAATTCTTATGTTTCAATGATTTTGAATATTAGTTTAAGTAGTATTACCTGTAAACTGTAGTCCTGCAAAGGATGAAAAGTAGAAAAATAAAAATCATTTTGAATTCTGTTTGAATTTTTAACTAATCCATCTTTTAAACTTGTAACTGCAGCATCATACAATCCTTTGTATTCTAATGTAACATAATCACAATTTAATCGTTCCAACATGTTATACAATTTTACAAAAATAATCTGTCATGAGGAAACAGTAATATGATTACAATTTAATATGATTGAATATGATTACAGATGATTACAGTGTAATATAATTCAATTTACCTGACTATAAAGTCGCGTATTATATTGTTGTCCTAAACAACAGTGGGCAACATATTTAATTCCCGTTAAAATAAAATTACTCTGTAAATCTTTAGATAGGAGTTTTGAAACATGATAAACAATGCATGCTATGGAACTAACACATCCTGGACGTGTTGTAATACCCTGCATATATATTTGTTACATATCATATACTTAAAAAGAAAAATTAGAAGAGGAAAAACAAAGCTTATTTAAGAACCTTCTCAAAAAATTCCCAGAGTTTATCATGAAGTTCCATATTGTTTAGAAAAATTTTGATTAATACCCATTCTTGCATTAATCGAACACTATGTTGATTACTTTCCAAAAGTATTAAATTACAAAGAAATTCTTGTAATGTAATGATGTCATCCTGTAAAAGAATGTAATTTTTTCAGCTGCTTACTATTTATTGAAATATGTAATACTTTATTACCTTAGTTAAAACTGGCTGTATTATTAACAAAATTTGCATAATTCGATGTTTTATCTTATGTATATAAGAATGATTGAAATATCGTTTATTTTTATATTTTTCTAATTTCTGTAAAATAATTGGAAGAAATACTGATGCATATTTTTTATCTTCATTAATTATCTTATGTAGCAAAACAACAGAAGTTGCTCTGATATTAGCTTCATTATTATAGTCTCTAGTAATAGAGTCAAAGTATTAATAAAAAAAAAAACACAAAATAATATGAAATAACTTAAAGATACATACATTATTTGTATATGTTGTGGATAACAATTCAAATAACTTTTTATAATGTACAAATAGGTTTGATTTTCTATTTGTTTATCTCTTTTAAGTACTTGTCCATGAAGGAGACATGATAATAGTGGCTCTTGTAAATTCTTCAAGCAGTATATATCTAATAATTCCATTTCATTTAATAAAATTTTCTTCAATTTTGGTACCTTATTACCTTCTTCAAGTAACTGATCAAGAAACTAAAAATTAGAATTAATTTTAATATGCAAATAATACTAGTTTTTAAGACAATACATTATTACCTTACATTGTTTACAAAAGTTATAGCATTTGGTAATACCAAAAAATTATTATTTATAATAACCCCTACAAAATTTTCCATTGCTGAGAAATAAATTTTGTTTTTTGTATCTGACAAAGTAGTTCTCCAACATATAGTAAAAATAGATTCTAAACTTAATTTATTTTCTGGATGTTTTATTCCTCCCTTACTGACAATTGTTTTTAATATCAGTGCTATTTCAGGAACAATTTCACTTCCTCCCATTTCATATAAATATGAAATATTTTCAAACCAATCAATTTCTTGAGGCCATAATTGTACTTCCATCCTTGATAAGAATTGGTTTGTGAGTCTTGCAAGTAACACATAACAATCTGATACTATTTTTCCTTTAGAACTTTTTTCTTCGTTTCCTTTAGACTTTGTTTCATCTTCATGATTATTAGGTATATAAGTGTTACAAATATTTAATAACAATTGTATATCAAATAATTTGTGGTTTACACATAAAATGTTTTGAGTATAATGTAAAATATATAATGCATATACATAATGCATGTTTGTGTATGTTTTTGCATTTTGAAGAATAGTTATACTTTCATGCTTGAATTTCTCAGCATAATTAAAAATTTCTTTTTCTGATAGAATTAAATTTCCAGTATTAAGAAATAAAACAATTGTAGTAAAATATCTAATTATTTCTTCATACTTAAATTTGTATGCTATGTTTCTGTAATTTCTAAGTAGAAATTTTAATGAATCATCTATGTATGAGGACAATAATTGTATAGTGCTATTATGAATTCTTGTACCACTTAAATGAAGTAGATGTGACATAAATTCTACCATATAAAAAATATGTGCTGTATTTGCATAAGGTCTTGTATCTATCCCCTTAAGTGATGATAACCAATTATTTAGTACTTCACCTACAGGACACACTTTGTGTTGTGATATTAGATCTGCATCATAAAACATCATAACCACAAGAGCAAACTTTGCAGGATTCAATTTTAAATATAGATCTTGACAGGAATATTCATTGCATATACATTGTATAAAATTTATTACATTTGCTTCTACTAATACTTCTTTCAACCATTTTACTACAATATCCCATGAAAATGAATTTCTTACAAGAATTTCTTCTGAAGAAAATTCTAACAATGTATCTATAACAATTTTCAAATCATTTATTTTTTTTACAGAAAGGGAAACTGTTTTTAAAAGTTCAATTTGAGATGCAATTCTAAATATATGAGAATGCATATTTAAATTTTTTTGCACTAAAAACTTAACTAGAATTAATTGATCATCTTCCCAATGATTGCACACTTTACTTGAAACTGTTCTTAAAACTTTCATCATATAAAACAATGGGATAGGAGCCCAAGTTTCTTCACTCATTACCTGAAGGACTTTATTGAGAAACTCTACTTCTTCCTTTTTTGCATATGTAAACAATGTTATGATATCATTTAATATTTCTGGTTCTTGTTGGTAAGCTTGACACTCATATAAAAATGTATTATTTAGAACATGTATAAATAATTTTAAAAACTGATGGTCATATACAAGGGCAGGTAATTTACAAACATATAAAATTCCTTGTTTTAGAATAGTATTATTTTCATGCTGTAGTATTCTCACAAAAATTAATTGTAGCCAAATCATATTAAAACAATCATTACACACATCATGCTCTTTGTTTCCTTTCACCAAAGTTGGTAAATGACTTAAAGCAGGTAATATTAAATGATGTTGTTTTTCTTCTAGTGCATCTAATATCAGAAAGTAGTTTTGTTTAATTTCATTTATTGATATCTTTGTCCTAATTGAATGGTTACATATAAAAGGAATAATTTTATGCTTTTTCAATTTTAAAGTGCTTTCATTTATAGTATTCATGAAATCAGTTATTCTTTTCATTATAAATAATGCTTGTTTGCGATACTGTTGTATAGGAGATTTTATACTTTGTATTATTAACAACCATAATTGTTCTGTGTAACATAAATCATAACATATGAGATTTATATTTTTCAAGTTTGACACATAACATACATCTATCAAAATGCTAAGTGCACTAAGGAAATCTTTTAAGTCATCCAATTTATTTAAAACACAATTCCATATGGTTGGTATAACATTTTCAGAACCACAAGTATTTACTAATTTTGGAAGAATTGAAGCAAACAGTTGCCATTCTTTATTTTCTTTCATTTGCAACCATAATACAATATCCTTCAGATACAATGAAGTAAAATATTCCAATAAATTTGGTTCCAAGTCATTGTATATAAATTTTCTTAATTGCAACGATTCTAAGAAACATTCTAGTATTTTTATGTAAAAGACTTTACTTTCACTATTATTTAAGACATCAACATTTGATTTCTGAAAATTGATCAAGTGTTGTGCAATACATTGTGAATTACAGTAAAGTATTAATTGTAAAATTGCAATATCATATAAAATGGGATATTCAACAAAACTTTGTGATTGTTTTATCACAAATAAAGTATTTTCTATAGTTTTAAAACATAGATCACTTGGAACTATTTTTGTGTGTTTCTCTCCAGAATTAAATGTAAGTTGATATTCATAACATAATATCATTCGAAATGTATCTAATTGCTTTGCATGTAAATTATTTTTTATTAATTCGGCATTGTAATATTTAGTTAGACGATGTAATAATGAAAATGGATTATCTTTAAATGCAGTTTCTAATAATTCTAAGATTGAAAAATCTATTGCCGAAGTACGTACATAGCGTTCGTGTAAATCCATTTTGTATACCGTTTCTCTATTATTAATGTATTTATCTCATTTTGTATTTATATTTGAATATATAGGTATGTGTTATCTTACTTTATTGCAAATACGTTGTCAAAATTCTCAAAAATATTTCGTTTAAAAATTTAAATGTATCTCTTATTTATTTCAATATGTTTAATTCATAAAAATCTAATACAATATAGTCTCTTATTTAAATTGTATATTTTCGTATATAGTAGCAAACTGAATATACCTAACCAATAAACGCGCACGTGGGTATTTGGAAACATAAATATACGTATCAAACGTATATTTATATTGTAATAAAAAGTCCGTGATAGTTTCCGAACAAGTGCTTTCCCAGACAAGTTGTGCACATCTCAACCTGAAGCGAACTCGACAGTGGAGACTTCAACACTCAGCAGTTTCAGGAAATGTTGCATTTTCTGACAACAGGAAGCAACTTCCTGAAAATCATTAGCTTGGTCAAACAAGTGGTCAATAGCCGGTACATAAGTTTGACGAGAATGGCTAAAAGTAAATTTGAATATGTAAAAGAATTTGAACGTGACGATTGTTGTTTGCCAAATTGTTGGATTGTGGTTAGAATAGATGGAAGAAATTTTTCGAAGTTTTGCGATGCGCATCAATTCACTAAACCGAACGATGTAGCTGCATTGCAATTAATGAATCGCGCGGCTATTACAGTTATGGAAGATTTCAAAGAAATTATTCTAGGTTTTGGTCAAAGCGATGAATATTCTTTCGTCTTTCGAAAAGACACTCAACTTTATAAAAGGAGAGGTATGTATGTTTTGAAAAGCAATTTATAACATAATAGACTTAAAACGATGAATAAATAATATGGAAGCAAAGAATGTATTAATTTATACAAAATATATTATTGTGTTCGTATATTACATAATATTTATGATTCATAATGTTTAATAATATGAATATACTATTTACAACATTGTTTTCATAATATTTCAGCTTCAAAGTTAATGTCAAATGTAAATTCTTTATTTGCATCATCTTATGTTTACCATTGGCCTCGTTTCTTCCAAGGCAAAGAGCTGTATTATCCACCTTCCTTTGATGCTCGTGTTGTATTATATCCAACAGATAAAAATTTAAGGGATTATTTAGCATGGCGGCAAGCAGATGTCCATGTAAACAATTTATATAATACTTGTTTTTGGAATCTTATATTGAATGGGAAACTGACTCCATCTCAGGTAAATTAAGTTTTTTCTAATTTCTACATATTAAAAGTTTACTATAAATAAGAGAATAATCTATATAAATAAATCAAAGAATTATCATGCATATGTAATTTCAAGTTATATTTGTACAAACTATTTTTAACTATTTATTTTAACTCTTAGGCAGAAGAAAAGCTTAGGGGTACATTGGCATCTCATAAAAACGAATTACTTTTTCAAGAATTTGGTATAAATTATAACAATGAACCTGCACTTTTTCGAAAAGGCACTACACTTATAAGAAAATTAGTATCTGATGGAACAGGCAGGTTAAAACCAGCAGTAGTTCCAATGGTAGATGATATCATTGCAGACCGTTTTTGGAAAGAAAATCCAGAAGTAATTGGATTAAAAAGTTTAGCAACTTATCAACCTCTAAATCTAGTTAATAATGTTACTGCAAATCCAATGAGAACAACAAAACCACCATCACCAACTGCTAACTTAAAACATATTAATAATACGCCACCAGCTCCAGTTGCTAATGTGAATTCTATGAATGAAGAAGTACATCCAGCAAGGAGTCGAGAATCAGATGGAGAAAGAATGCAGTGTGAAAATGAACGAATTTGTAGAAGATAAGCAGTGTTTTCCTTTTTTTTTTACAATAAATTTGAAGAAACATCCTAACGGAAAATAATGAAAGTTTATTTCCGGTAATTCTAAGAATATTTTAATCTCGTTTTATCTGAGGCAGTAGTATTATAAAACGTTAATTATTGGTGAAAGAATTACAAAATTCAGAATTATTTATTGAATAATGTTAAATTATTTATGAAATGAAAGGCTGCTCTAGAGTAAATGTACTAAGATTTTTATAAGGAATCTTGTTTGTAAACATAAATGGTACAGGCTGTAGGCGTTTCATATACAAAAAATTCATACCCATTTTCCGTAGTTTGGAATTATGAACCATTTTGAATTAATTTCAATTATAAAATTTTATAATTTTGCATGTGTGCGTTTATAGGTTTAATAATAATTAGTTAATTTTCATTATATCATGAATGCTATTATATCATGCATTAATTTGATTACTATTATGATTTATTAATTTAAATAATATTGTTATTAAAAAAAACATGCAAAATATAAGTA